ATAATGTTCTTTTTAGCAGCATCATATGACCCCTTTAAAGGTGAAGGCCTTTTTTTTTTTAAATTTTTTTTATATTCATTAACCAGTGAAGAGAAAGTAATATTCTAGTAGTAATATAGCCGTTTAATTTCAATTTGTCACCCTGATGGATATTTGCATTGCTACACATTTTCACGCTCTTTGCAATTTTTTTGTTTGTTTTCATGATAGTGGCAAATGGCCAAAAGCAGTACGTGCCAATGGTCATCTTTTGCTAAACTCTGAAAAGGTGAGATGATATTCCTCTTCTGTCTTTCTTGTTGGGAAAGACATGCGCTGAGTTTGCTCTAACCTTAGCTACAGTACAATAAATTGTGCTCCAGTGTAATTGTGAGGACCACATTTCTGAGAAATGCTTTACGGATATCTTTACAAATCTCTTTAACAAAAAGTCCATAAATTACCATACTATTATAGTATTTATTAACATTTTTATCTAGCATTTATTTATTTTTCAGCTTTTGTTTTAATTTAGGTTTTAGTAATGTTATGTGCCTTTGTTGTTGTTTTAAATATTTATTTTTGCCTTTAATTTTTATTTCAGTTTTAGTAATTTTAGTGCTTAAACGTATTTTATTTCAGTTAGTTGACAAGGCAACATTTCTAAATGTCAAGTTTTTTTTTTTGTTTGCTTTCTGTGGTATTTCAATTAAGAAAGTAGTTTGTTTGTTCCTCTGTATTTATGAACACGCATGTTGTGGATGGTCCTCTTCAGTCGTCTAATTAGATGTTTATACACCCACCAGATGTCCAAATCCACTGGCAACTTTCTCACTTTGAGTCAAGCCATTGCCAAGTTTTCAGCAGATGGTAAGTCATTTGAAGGTCAAACACTTTACATGCGGTCAGACTCTTAGGTTTAAGACCTATGCATGTAAAGTCTAACTTTGTGATCCCCTCAAAGAGGATATGTCTTTTTTTTCTGTGACCTGTAATGTAGAATTATGAATGTGAATGCCATAAACCCCTGCCAACCTTGACTGTCTGTCTGTATCGTAGGAATGCGTTTAACTCTGGCTGATGCTGGGGATACGGTAGAGGATGCTAACTTTGTCGAGGCCATGGCAGATGCAGGAATATTGCGTCTCTTTACATGGGTGGAATGGGTGAAAGAGATGATCGCCAATCAGAACAACCTGAGGACCGGACCAGTGGACACGTTTAATGACAGAGTATTTATTAGGTAAATAATTAAGTGCTGACAGGAGTGTGAAACAAAAAAAAGCATTCATGTAAAATTCACTTGTTTCCATTCAGTAGTATAGTGAATATATTATGTTGTGGTATAATAACAATAATAGAAGTGCACTGTTAAGTAGAGAAAAAAAATAAAGAAAGAAAGAAAATAAAATGGAAATAGGTACACTACCATTCAAACATTTGGGTTCAGTAAAATTATTTTATTTTATTTTTTTCCTGAAAAAAATGAATGCTTTCATTCAGAATGACAAATTAATCAAAAGTAACAGTAAGAACATTTATCATTTTACAAAAGATTTGTTTCAAATAAATGCTGTTCTTTTGAACCTTCCATTTAATCCTGAACAAAGAAAATTTATCGGTTTCTGTAAAATATTAAGTAGCACAACTGTTTTCAACATTGATGATAATAAT